ACATCAACATACCCAAAAGCAAAAGAAAACCAAAAATTACCTGAGATAAAAAAATAATAATAATAATAAAATAACTACAACATATACGCTGGACGGATTTAATTTCAACCATGGTATTTGTGTGATGATTACACTCTTCAAGGTACCTTTTATTACCTGACATGTGAAAGTTTTCACCTGTCAGTTTACGAATGTTCCTTGTGTGACATAATTCATATAAAGTGATTAAAAGCTCTTAGACTCAACACGTGCGCATGCTCGAGAACGCCATTCCAATACAACTCAACTCTCAGAACTGTGAAACGAGAGCAAATAGAAATCAAAGATTGAGATGAGATTAACTCTCACGGGATTGGCGTGCCTAGTCCTTGTTCTGCGTCTTCCTAGGCCTTCTCGGTCAATGCGTTTCGGTGAAGTATCCAACTCTCAAGAATTTACTCAGACCACGTAATCCAAAACGCTTCGGACGCGCGCAATAATAAGGCCTAGGGACTAGGCAACGGATAGGCTTGGTCGCTTGGTTAACCAACATGGCTGTCGTTCATTGTTTTGGAGGGTTGTTCTGCACCTATTCCAAACGAGGTTTGTGATTGGCTGGCAAAACAATAGGGATGGTGACATAACAATGTCCCTATCCCTGAAAACAATAGGTAGTGCAGGTTATAGGGACCAGTGAAATAAGAGGTTTGGATGGAGGCAGGTCAATTGGTTTTGGAAATAAGACCAATAAGGCCGCCGCAACGTCATGTAAAAACGCACTTTCAGAAACTACAAGCTGTCTGAAAAGTTGAGAATAGTGTGTTGAACTTTGGCTAATGCAAGCTCGAGCGCATATGTCAGTTAAAAAAAAAAAATTGTATTAATAGAAATCGAAGAGCTAAGAGGTAACCCATCCTAAAGGGCCTTTTCTACCAAATGTTGTTGTCTATGCTTTTAAGTTTGGGAAACGCACGTTGTAATAAAAAGCACTTTCTACATCAGCGTTTTTGTTTGTCATTCGCTTTGATGCCTCGTAAAAACCCCTGTGTCTCTTTAATTGCGGTACTCTAAGCGCGGAGCCCCATAGCTAAGGAGATGTGGTAATCTACCCATCCGAGGAAATTTGGTAATCACGTGACCGTACACCGAGCGAGCGAGCGAGCGAGCGAGCGATCGAGCGACCGTCCGTCCACACCACAGGTATACCAATGTAAAATAACTCAATCAACAGGTATGGCAACCCAAATGCAACTCAAGGTTTTATTTGGAAGGAAAGCACCTGGCCGCTCGGACTTTTAAAAGAAAAAACAGCAACAAAGTCGTGTCTTTTTCGGCGTTATTTTTTATGTTTACACTTATTTGGACAAAAGAGAAAGAGCTAGAGCAAGTTATTGAAAACAAAAGAGACGGAATTTCGTAGGATGAAAAACAAGGAAATTCAAAGCAGCGGTGAGAAAATGAGAAATGCGAGCGGCCAGCAAGGTGAAAATGAGCGGCAATAAAAAATAAAAGCGAACATGAACGCAGGAAACAAAATATTGGGTAAGCACATACGACAATTCCTCCATAAAAATAATGTGTAACTAGGAAGTTTGACCTTTTAGTCGTGCAAAACAGCGTTGTAGTCGTGCAAAACAACGGCAAGGGAAGGTTAAAAAAGCGTGCTTTTGCTAATTAGAAGAAAAAGTGTGCTGCGCTTGCGATTTGTTTTTTTTTTTTTTGCTAATTAGTTCTATTAGTCTTGAAGCCATTCTCATTGTCGTCCTCGTTTAGCATTACACGATTTAATTTTTTTGTTTACACGTATTATTAACCAGAGCTTCGCTTTTAGCCCTGACTAAATCTATATATTATAATACTAGAAATACGTGTATCGCAGAACCTCGCGAGGCTACCAAGAAAGCCGTAGAGGGTGGTTCGCCTGGTAATTCTTGGTTGGGGTGTGCCGTCCGGTTTCCCTAATCTTGACCTTACAGTTTCAGACCAAAACATGTCATTTTCCACACCCGTTTTCAGACCTGCCTGCACCTGACCCGTGACATTTGAGAGACAGGCCACCTGGGCCGGGTTGTTCGAAGCTGGGTTAAGGTAACCCAGGGTTAGTGCGAAACTTAAACTCGGATATCAGAGCTTAAAAAGCAAGTTCAGTTTAATTCTCTTTGCCTACAATTTGACGATAGGATACTCTAAAAAGAATAGAGAAATTTTTCCGAGAGAGTGCTTTTGATAAATAGAAACCCGGGTGAACATTTAACTACGGGTTAGCGCTAATAGGCGTTCGAACAACTGGGTCCTGGCCTTTAAAGTCCATACCCATTTTCGGACAACAATCATAAGCAGAAATTATGCTACCATTACTTAGATAAGAACGCCTACAAAAAGTTTGTTTAAAATCTCTTTCCAGCGCCAGCGGAGCCGAAATAAAGCAATACAAGGTGGCTTCTGTCTTTCTTTTAGACGCCGACAACAAAAACTACATAGGATAGCCTTTCATAGGAGAGTGGAGGAAGGGGGGGGGGGG